AGCACCGAGCCCGGCTTCGAGCGCTGCGTCGTCGACGGGCCCTTTGCCCACACGAACCTGACCCTCGCCATGGGCTGGCCCAACATGAACGACCAAGGAGACCGGCTGCACTGCTTCACGCGCGAGTTCAACAATGCCTCGGGCAGGGATGAGAACGGCGAGATCATCATTGGCGACATGCAGGCTGCTGCCTACAACTCCAAAGTCATGAACACCATCTATGGCTTCGACACTTACGCCGCCATGAGCAACATGCTCGAGGGGCTGCCGCACGCGCAGAGTACGTTTTTCTTCGTCGAACGCCTTGTCTTCTTTTCTGCTGATACTGACGTGGCATGCAGTCCACAGCATCATCTTTGGTGACATGGGTCCCGCGACCTCGCCCAACGAGCCCCTCTTCTTCCTGCACCACGCCAACGTCGACCGTGCCTGGGCCAAGGTACGTTCTCCCCCAGCCTCCCTGACTGTCAACCTCGTCTTTGCTTGCCACGGTGCAGATGCTGACGTCCACTGTAGTGGCAGGGCCGTAACGCCACGCGTCTGGCGGATTACACCGGCTTCAACGACCCCAACAGGGTCATCTCGGCCTCTTTGGACGACAGGATGCCGGTCATGCGGCTTGCCGACGAGGAGCCCATTGTGCGCGACTTTATGGATACCCAGGCCGGGCCCCTGTGCTACACGTACTCGGCATCAACGTAATCTCTCGTGGAAGAGGCTCCCGAGTTTGATGGACGCGATGTGACGGTGAGACGATGGATGATGTATACCCATGACGAGGTAGCTGTTGTAATAACTGTTGAAACATCCACAAAGGAGGCTGATGTTAGAGTTGCCCCTGATGGCATGGCTGGGCGGATCTCTGCCTTGATTTTTGACGGCTTCTCCCACGATAGAGTTTTTATTTCACGAGGGCTGGCATTTTTGAGAGGTCTCACAGACCTGGTGCACCATCCAAGCAACTTGCATACCCGGTTTTCCCGCTTTCATGAACGGCCGCCGTGTGCCTGTCTCGTGGACCAGTGATCGTTCGCCGATGGAGCGCAACGTTCCAAGTCTTCACATGTCCTCGTAGGCTGTTCTGACAGGAACGAACGCCCAAGACACGCTGCCATGATGGGTCTCAATGATGGATGGCCTTATTAGCCGGATCCTTGAGCTGAACAGCAGGCACGCGGGGCCAAGAACGGCCGCTTGCATTGCGAGATTGATCCTCGAGATGATTCGAAGGGAAAGGCTTGGGCTTGGCAGCCGCTGCGGCACGACGGGCGTCAGTCTACACAGTAAGACGCAGCATCCCCACCAGATGCTATGAGACGAGAGTAGGCGCGCGCAGTGGTCCAAGGGAAACAAAGATCGAAGCAGCGGCTAGCAGGCCACATGACTAGACTCCTTTGACGGAGATGACCATTGGGTATCGGGGCTGCGCAGGGCCGCGGCAGCGCGGTAGCTTAGATGGGGACACCTCGGATGATGGTGGTCGTTTCCCGACACACGAATCATGATTGGGTTGGAGCTCTGGCGCGCTCCCTCGCGTCAGTCCTTCGGAGAAATAATCATAGATTGGCTGGTGAGACAAAAGCAGGGTAAAAGAAACCGAATTCACATGGAGTGGTCTTGATCACAGTGAGCACGGTCTGGACCAGTCGAACGCTGGCCGTCGGACCAGGTCGGCCAGGAACAAAGAATTGAGTTGGCGCCAAGTTTTGTGTGGTGGTAACTGGTGGCGCCGATCCGGGAGTCTCCAGTGCGTGTGCCTGGCTAGCAGAGAGTAAGCTCGTCCACGAGTGGGAAGTAGTACTACGCGAGATCCACGTATTATCGGTCGAGGACGTTTTTGTTTTGGTCCGTGGTTGGCTCACGAGGATCGCGCCGGCGGCAGGCTCTGCTTCGGTTGATGATTCGGTCGGATACTCTTGTGTGTGCCTTCATCTTGGGTGAATGGAGGCTAAAGATGGAACGAGAGCAGGTTGGATAGGTAGGATCAAGTTGGGTGGCACAAGGTTTTTCTTTGGGGGCTGCCAATCGTCAGCATTTCACAGTCTTCTTCGACATGTCCTTCGTGGCCCGGTGCTCTCTTTTCGTTCTGTCATTTGCCATGGTTCGTGGCTGCATCGAAAGGATCGTGGGATGACTGGATACAATCTTTGGCGGCGGTGGCGGCGGCGGCGGCGAAGGATGCTGTCATGCGGCCCTACTGATGTATGTTTTCTATAATGTGTCCAGATCGAGCTCGTGATGGGTGTCAAACCCTGAACACGATGAACAAAGTTCAATCTCCATGCAGCGGGAAGGAAAGGGAAGGGGGACGGATGGAAACACCAGGAAGGTACGATGCATTAGTCGTCTGTAAATTTTCCCATTGGCCCTCGCAGCGGGCCCTCTCCTCAGCTCAGGCGGGGCAGGTGCTGCAGGCGGGTGCTGTAGGCTGTATGCCACTTACTACCTTACCTTAGGTAGGCAGCCGTGCCCGGGCATCTACAGGTACATGGTAGGTGCCTAGCAGGTGTGACCCACCCTCCACCTACGCCCGCCTACGCCCCGCCTGTGCCCACGCGCCTGTCTAATTTCCCCCTCTTCCCACATCTTCCTTCATGCTTCCACCACCATGCCCCAATTGAGCCTCGAACCCATCATCGCCTGCGACCAGCCCGTCCGGATCAGGCACACTATCCTCGTTCATCGTCCCATCGAGGCCTCGCTTCGCCTTTTTCTCTTTCGCCGTCATGGTCATGGCATCCATCTTCGGATCATTGTCGCGGTACCAGGCACGGTCGGAACGCACGGCGACGGGGATGTGAGCATTGAGCACGAACAAACACGAAGAAACAGGCACAACGGCCGTGAGCCTCCCTACCCCCCTTGCTCTCCCCCGGGTAGTGGCACGTCCCTGTTTCCTCGTCCCAAGCTCAGGAGTTCGTTCCAAGCTGCCAGAAGAGAATACGATGTCCCCGATGAGGTCCACCGACACTACCTGACTTCGCCTGACTACTGCTTCTTGCCTGGGTGCACCATCGCCAGCACCAGCACACTCTTCACAACGCTCACCTGAAGGGTCATCCATGGTCATACCCACTTGTCCGGCCGGCTGGCTTCAGGGCAACCTGATCGACCACCCCAATGCTACCAGGACCAGGACCTAGCGAGCCATCGCCCGGCGCACGTCCTCCGCTCGCTCAATGCCAGGCAGCCAGGCAAGCTTTCCGCCTCTTGTTCACATGCAGTGCAGGCATGCTAGAGATATGTAATGAACAATGGCGAATTCTACGGGCGAATCATCAGACCACCAGTGGTCCAAACCACCTACCATGAACAGAATCAATTCTCTGCTGCATTGTACTGTACCGGCAAAGCCACGAGCCAATCTGATTCTCTGCGCGAATCAAGAGCCACATCCGCCAGCATGAACCAGCAGATCCAACTGGATCACCCTAATGCGGGACGTCATCTGGACCATCTCCCGTCGATACCCAGACTACTGGTCAAGCCCAAGTCGACCTATCCCGGTCCGCTGCCCTCCTGTCGCTGGTCTAGACCCTCCCAATATTGGTTCCTTAGCCTTTGCTTTCGCCCCGCGTACTCGACCACTTACGTACCACCACCAGTGGCCCCAAAGGCGCATCCGTCTGCATGAGCAATCAATCACCAGCTGGATGACTTGCTGACTGCCTTTGCGCTTGTGCAAACCAACTGCCCAACTGGGCGCCTCCATGCAGCCGCCACCCCAATTCGGCAGACATTCAGGCCTTGCGTTGTGTGCCTTGTGTACCTTCAGCCCCTACCAGCATACAGTGGCCGGTCAAAAAAGCCTTTGGAGACCGCTTGGAATTTCTTGCACAATACTTCATCGAAAGGAGGCTCACGAGCCACCCCCTCGCCTTCACCAAATGCTGCCACGTCCAATGTTCCATGCTCAGTGTTCGATCGACCGGAATCAAGCCCCCAAAACCTGCTAGCACATGTCGGCTCTGGACCCCTTTCGCCAACACCACGCCGGAATCGCGTGCCACCGCGTGGCTTGTCAAATCGCTCGCGCCTGGGTACCCCTGGTACCTGGCAGGGATCCCTAGTTCGCAACGAGTCTGTAGAATCCACCGTGTAGAGTTGGCCCCACCTCAAGCCAGGCCTCGTCCGGCTCTACCATGTCCAAGCACTTTTCCTGACCCCTTCACGGCACGACGCTCACACCCAAGCAGGGCCCCTGGTCCCCATTGCCCACCATCCTGGATGCTACCACGCCGCCGACTGCGCCTGTTCACCCGCCTGCTCGCTTTGGCCAAGCCAATATTGCTGCCCCCCGTCGCTGCCGCAGAGACCACCATCCTCTCTTCATAACCAAGTTGTGCCCCCCGGCCACCTGTTCCCTTCCCACGTCAAAAGAGCCTCAGAGGTTTCTTCACTTGCCTTTGTCTACCGAATACAGCTGCTCCCAGGCCTCTGCAACGCCGACAGTCCAATTCGGAGGCTAAGACGAAGAGCGAACATCTCGCAGTTCGCTCTACCGACTGGAACGACGCAACCCGAGTACCAGTCACCAACTCACTCGCTTGTTGGTCTGGCTCGGTTCGGCTCTCTCGATCCTGTCTCACTCGCCAACCCTCTTGGGACTCGATCGACATTCCTCCACCGACGCCACCTGGTCATCCACCCGCGAGCTCGTCAAAACCGACTTGCCATTGATTTCTGGTCGACAACGCGCCTCACGACCGACTTCTTCTTGAATGAGAGAGGTCAGCGAAAGGGTTCCTTCTGGTCACAAGAGCACGCATGCAGAGTCGCCACGCCTCTCGGGGGCTGTCAATCCACCAACGTCTCCTGCAAGCCGATCAACCAACTTCAACAAGAACCACCGACGATCTTGGTGGGGTCGGTCCAAGAAGGTCACGGAGTCACTCAACCCCTCCGAGGCAACAGGCCTGGGACCTGACTCTTCCCCCCTTAATGGATGATATGCTTTTGGTGTTTCCACCACACATCGTCTAAGCATTCCATCACTAGCCATGTTCTCATCAACACCACCCTCCTCGGCATCACGTAGTCCTCCCGCTTCGAGCATGTCGTGGGCGTCGCGCTTCCTGCTTGTGACGCTTTGCGTGGCATCAACTGCGTTGGGCGCCGTCGTTCCGTCCGAGGATACGCTGCCAGCACTTGCACCTGGTCAGCAGGGTTTGGGAGCGCCCTACAGGTCTGCCATGGCATCAGGAGATGCGGACTTGAGGAAACGGCAAGAAGACGACGACGAAAGCACAACAACAATACGACGAGCAACGCCAGCAACCACAACGGTGTCCGAGAGGACCACTGCTGCTAGTACTGCCCGTCTCTCCATAACTCCACCAAGCTCCAGCACAGAAGTGCCCGCCGCGCTCCCGTCACCATTCGACAGCAGCATGGCCTCTACATTCACCAACACTGACAACGCTGCCTGTCCAAATTTCATTAATGCTCTCCTTTCTAATTCCGACTTCAAGAAATGTTATCCCATCTCTATGCTGCTTTTGGTAAGACCATTCTCTGCGCCAACCCCTCGTCCCTCAGCACTAACCTGGTTGTAGAGCTCTAATGGATTCTTCGAGGCGAGCAAGAGTCTTGTCAAAATTGTCCGCGTCCTTGACGCCGGCTGTGAAGTCGACTTTGACTTTTGCAAGACACATCTTGGCTCCTTGGCCGAGCAGCTCGTCAAAGACGAAAACTGTGGGCCCGATTACAAAAAGGGACACGCCGTTGTTCGCGATGCCTACCTGGGCCTCACGACCTACGAAACGGTCTACAAAGCGACATGCCTACAGAGCAAAGACGACGCCATGTACTGCTACGCTACCGCCACCACATTCAGTGACGCTTCAAATATCTACCCATACCACCTGCCATTCAACCTGACATTTCCCGGAAGTGCCACGCCCGAGTGCAGCTGGTGCTTGTCTGAGACGATGGCGATTTTCCACGCCCAGGCCGCCGATCGCCGGAAACTCATCTCCTTGACGTACCAGAGTGCTGCACGCCAGATCAATACTGTGTGTGGCCCTGAGTTTGTCAACGAGACTCTCCCGGAGGCGGTGACGGGCAGCTTAGCAGGTGTTTTCCTGCCACCCTGGGCTGTCGGCGTTGTTGCCCTATCACTGGGTCTGATACACAACTTGCTGTAAAGCATGTCTGTCCTCTTCGGATGGGTAGCATGGCGTATTTGGGTTTCTCGGGTGGCATGATCTCACGTCGTCTTTTTTTTTTTCTTTTTTTCCACAAACAGCAAGCGCTTTGATACCCTTACACTTTCCTTAATTCCTCTTCTTCAGCCCCATTTTTACAAACATACTTGGGTTCGACGAGCCAAATTATCTACAAGGGCCACTTTCCCGATCATTCTAATCATTATTATTATTGCTTGATTTTCCGCGAGCATGGCGCTGGGAGAGCGCCAAGGATTGGAAGGAAGCACGGCAGAAGAATATAGATGGGTGGAAGAATAGAGCCTCGGCACGAGGGATGCCCCTGGCTGCAGGGCACGAGCGACGGCCTGGACAGGGGTATAGCGGCGACGAAGCATCGCATCACAATGTGTTGTACGCCCCAGTACAAAGATATCAGCCCTCCGGGGTACAAAAATGAATAGGTCCTGGACCTTATCATCCACACTACCTCAAACATGTTGACCGTTCCCAGCTCCAAGAATGTCTGCTCTTGTACAGCATGCGTTTTGGTGCAGCACATCAGGCCAAGGTGGCCATGCTTAATGCTTGATTAGGGCCTCTCGACGTGGTTTCATGTGAAAAGATGCCCTGCCGAGGTTGAATTGTTGCCTCCTCATGGCAGCCCTGCTATCGTGACCTTGGCGAGCCTGAATACCAGTGTTACGAGGGTGGATGGTCCCTCGATCCAACGGCAGTCTAGATTAACCAGCTCCAATAACTCCTTCACGGCACCATCATCAGGTGGAATGAACGTAAGACTAAAAATCCTTTCGTCTCCTCAATCATTGCGTACACGTCTACACTGTCTCGCTTCTCGAAAAGTGCGCTTCAGTGTCTAAGGCATTTTGTCTGCGCTCGCATCATCGGTGTCTCTCTGCCGTGCCATGTTCCTAGTCCGTCCGTCTGTGTTCGTATCCAGCCCTGAGTTTCCGTCTATGTGTACGCCGGGTTGGTAGTCCCATGGCGTCCTTGATGTTGTTGTCTGACAGGTGGTCAAATGTTTTGGAGAAGGGGCCAACGCAAGACTGGTCGTTTCCAGAACTGGCGCAACAGTTCCCCTGGTTGGTGTCGAGTGGGATCACGTCTATATAAGGGCCTCGGCCGTCTACAAGATTGGCCGAGACTCCTTATATACCCTGCCCCATAATATACAGTGTCCGTGTCTTGCCGGACCTTCTCTGGTAGGTTTCGAGTCAGTGTTCTCCGCAGTTCTCGATCATTGAATCGACAAAGCTCGAAGAGCTCTTCCAGCTCCAGATGTCCAGATGCAAAATTTGTTCCCATTCGTACCTGACGATTGGGTGCGAATATCGCTAGTTGAAGGCCTCTTCATTCTGTTCATCCAACCACTCTGAACCACATTACCGTTGGCTTGCCGTCATAGTCTCCCAGCGTCTGACTTTTGACAATTACCACACATTGTAGATTTACTACTCGAGGCTCTTTCGACGTAAACAGAAAAGCCAGTATGCAAGGCTTTTCACTACTACCTGGTGTTATTCATTTCTGTTATAAATGGCAGAGTTTTGATGGTTACCTACGCTCCCGTATATGACTGAACTAGAATGGAGCTGAAGGTTTTTTTGGATCGTTGTGCTTGGAAACTTTCAATCTGTCGCCTTGAAAGGTTAAGGGTCTGTGTTATAGTGTATAGTGAGAAATCTTGCATTGAAAGGTTACGTAGTGGCATACTTACCTGGCCACTGAGTTTAGACCTACAGTAGTAGACAGCCAAAGTTATTTGACCTGAAGAAAGGAACATAGGAATACACATGGTTTGCATATGACTCTAACGATTCTCAAGATACGAACGGTCCTAATGGTGCAAGTTGTTATCAGGGCACCATCGGCACTCCATGCCAGTAACGCATCGTAGCTACTTGTTCACCCATGGGGTTGATGACACCGAGAGTACACGAGAACTACCGAGCGCTAGTCTGCCACGCCTCTTATGCTTCAGATGCGACTGGAGGCCTGGGGTGATGTGGACGACAACGACAGCCAGTACCTTGAAGCCCAGGGCACGTTGAGTTCCCGCTGGAGAGGCCTAAAAGCCAAGCCGGAGAAACTCATGGTCCAGGCCTTGTGAGGTTTACCTTGACATTTTATCATCACACTGTTGGTATCCTGTCGGCCACAATCAAAATACCCAGTGGGGCAACAAAGGTGACAACATGGGAATGGGGTAAAATCCAGGATTTTGCCGTGGCGCAAAGCCATCATCACATGACTGTACGCCTCTCGGCGTAACCATTCTCGCTAAGCACTCAGGTCAAGGGAAAATGCCAAATGAAAAGAGAAAAGAGAGACGATCTCGCCAAGAGGAATTTTGGACCGCGATCAATGCTCTGACGGATGGGAGCGATCCTTCCCAGAAGCGCCATGCAACGTCGTCCACGTCGAGCGATTGCAACCAAACATCAGTCAATAGACATATGCATCCCACTCGTCGTCACAAAAGACCGACACTATCAAAGCTGAGACACGCCGTCATCCTCAGTCCAACCAAACCCGGTCACTGGAAAGACAGACCACCGGACAAGCCGATCACCCTCCGAGCCAAGACTTTTCATGCAGCATGGAGCCAGAAACACCCCCAAGTCGGGTCCCAACGAGCCCCAGCCCTCCCAAGTATGGCAAAGCCAGCGGATTGTTGAAGGCTATAGCACCAAGTTTCCGTCTCTCGTGGTTCGGCGACCCAGCCTTGAAAACCGAAGCGCCGCTCAAATGTTCAGACCGGGTCTCGACTTTGGGTCACTCCCCCCTCACGCCGATGCTACGCATCCTTTGCTCGGCTGCTGCTTCCCCCTTTCTCATGACCGGAAGGTCTGAACCGGACCTTCAGCTCAGGAAACGTAGCCTCAAAATGCTGGACGGGCGCACGATAGGCAGCATGCAGCAGCGGTGGCGGGCACTCCACACATGCAGGCAGGTAGGGTGTCACGCAGAACCAACAGTTGTGTGGCGACGTTGTAGCCTCCGTTACCTTGGCTCCTTATGCTTACCAGATGCTGACTACCTACGTGCAGTATGGGCTGCAGCCTGCTGGATGGGCGAGACAAAGACCATTCCCTCTACTTGTTGGTCAAGAAATCACGGTACTTGTCATTTTCTGTCATTTGTCATTTTCTGTCATTTGTCATTTTCTGTCAGTATTTTCTGTCAGTTGTTACCCGGGAACTGGATCCTCAACAACAGAAAATCTCCGGGTTCAGTCACTCGGCAGCCTCCGGTTGGCCAACAACTAGCTGTACATCACATGTGGGATGATTCCACCTTTTGACACATGCTGTGCAACACAAGGAAAGGAATGCTCCGTGCCATAAGGAAAAGAGGGGCCACAGCCCTCCATGCGAGACCTTGACACGTACAATACCATCTCATTATGACTGTAGCAGCAACGAAGCTGATCTATGCTGCTCCAGGACGAATGTACAACAAGACCGCATGACTCTATGAGACCACTATGCGAATACCCTTTAGCTTCCTGCAGCCAGATCGATCAGATGGGCTCATCCCTCGGCTCAATGAGCACCTCATTGACCGCCACATGCGGAGGCTGACAGACGGCAAAAACAATCGACGACGCAACATCCTCCGCATCCAAAACCTTGGCGCCCGTTGGCTCGCCGTACTTCTTGATGGCCTCGGCGTCAGTCGACATGCCCAGCAGCTCCGTGGCTGTGTTACCGGGCTGGATGGACGTGACGCGAAGTCCGGTGCCCGCAGTCTCAAGTCGCAGACTCTGCAGCGTGGCTTCGACGAAGAATTTGCTGGCCGAGTAGACACCAAGACCGGGGAACACCTTTCGACCTGCATCCGAAGAGATGGCGACAATGTGACCAGCACCGCGGCTCAGCATACCGGGAACGACAGACGACAAACAGTGCAGGAGACCCTTGCAGTTGACGTCAACGGTACGCTCCCACTCATCTGTCTTGTTGTTGGCCATCATGGTGAAGTACATGACACCAGCGCAGCTGACGAGTATGTCGATAGGGCCGAGTGTCTTGGAGACATTCTGCATGAGGGACTCGACCTCAGCCTTGCTGGTAATGTCTGCCTTTTGAATCAGAACCTTACCACCTGTACCGGCGGTGGTGATCTTGGCCTTGACTGCCTCGAGTGCGTCCATGCGTCGAGCAGCGAGCACAACGTGTGCGCCCTCCTTGGCCAGGCCCGCACCGACTGCGGCGCCTATGCCGGATGATGCGCCCATGACGACGGCAACCTTGCCAGCGAGGCGACCCTTGTTAATCTTGCCCGAGGTTCCGTTGGCCTGCTTGCGACGAGGTGGCCGAGAGAGCCAGCCTCGAGCGTAGAAGTGACGCATGTACGTCTCGAGAAGGGTACTGTCAATCTTGGGGCGCTGGAGGCCGTACTTGGCCAGGATAGGCTGCGTCGCATCGTCCTTGAGCACTGTGACTGACTGCAGGGCCTCGGCGGTGGGCATGCCACCACGCAGAATCTCGGCCGTGAAAGGAATGTCACCTGCTCGGCCGGAGCCCCGCTTCTCGTGCCAGAGGGATACCCAGTCGTCCCAGGGCAGGCGCGAGGTCGAGTAACCAAGCTCTGTCAAGCTGTGGAAGATGCCGCTAGCCGACACGGGGTTGGGATCGCCAAGGTGGTAGACCAGTTGCTTGGAGTCGGTGTGATTCGCGAGCGTGATGATGGCCGCACTGACAAAGTCCACAGGAGTCATTTCAGCAAACCAGCCCTCTACATTGGGCGCACAGCCGACATGCAGCGATTCGACGAGCAAGGCATTCAGCAAGTCGTACGTGTTGGTGGAGCCCGTGACACTATGACCACTGATGGTACCCGGGCGGTAGACCTTGCATGGCATACCACGACGAGCAGCCTCGTACACCAGTTTCTCGGCCACCCATTTAGTCTGACCATAGCCGTCAAGGAGCTTATCGGGCACATCGTCAATGTCCACCATGGCGTTCTCAGAC